AGATTACTTGGAACCAACAAGCAATCTTTATAAACCTAGGCAAATGTTAGATATTAACTTCATTTACAAATTCAAAATATTAAATTTCATCCATTCCGTCAAATATAATTATAAACATTCGAATCTGAATTTTGAAGTCAATAGTCATAAACACGAACACATAACCAGACAAAAAGATATGTTAACTCTCATCAAAATTAAATCAGATATGGGTGAAAGATCTATTTCATACAATGGAACAATTCTCTATAATGAATTACCTGCCAGACTGAAGAAAAAATTAGGTGTTGAGAAATTCAAAAAAGGAACTGAAAAAATACTTATGTCTTTGATTCTCTTATATCATCCTGAATCAATTCAAGAAATTATATTCAACAGCCTCTAGATACTCTAGAAGAAACAACATTATATGTATTATACAGGGTGTTAACAAATAAGTGTTACAACGGGAAACTGTAGATTGCTCATGAAAAAAGAAACATTTTTTTCCCTATCGAAATTTTTCTCCGGGCTTCCGTTATCAAGATACAGGGCGTCAAAAAAATACAAAAACATCTGTTTTTTGCTACTATCTCAGGAACCGTCGGAGCCACGGAGTTAAGCCTTCGTACACACTTCATCATCAATAAAGACTACTTTTAGGGCTCTTGATCAATTTCCTTGGACATGTCAGTGGAGGAGAATTCAACGCCTCGTAGGGGTTTAACCCCCCAAACATTTATGCCACTGGAGAAATTGTAATTTTCAAAGTAGATTCTGAAGCGCCAATATCTTTCACACAAAAAACGTCCTCTTGTCTCAATGCTCTAAAGTGAACAGTTCCTGCGAAAAATGGCTCTTTAGGAATAAGAACATACAAAATCCTGATGATATCTCCAAAAATTGTCTAAAAATCCACTGGAAATTAACACCTCAGATCTGTCTAATAATATGTTCAATCAAATGTCAGGTTCTTGAGTATGCTGGTCTCGATGCTGGTTTTCAAATTGTTGAGTTTATTTAGTATTGTGAAGTGTGTTTAATTAAACTGAACGTTTTTAATTTTTTTACGCCCTGTATCTTGAAAACGGAAGCCCGGAGAAAAATTTTGAAGAGGAACGAAATGTTTCTTTTAATATGAGGAATCTACAGTTTTCCGTTGTGACACTTATTTGTTAACACCCTGTATGTATATGATTTAAAAATGATTATCTAACTTTTTTTTTTAGTTGCTCTTCCATAATTTCCCCTGCTATATTCTTGGGAATAATAAAGATTATTATCAATGTGCAGGGGCTCCATCAAAGCTGGAACCACATTTCTTGTTCAATTTCCTGTGGGATATGCTGGAGCAGATTGGGTAAATTTTCTTGTAGAAATTGTAAGCATGTCAGATGATTCTCAAAAATTATGGTCCAATTAATGACATAATCATGGAATATACCACCCTAAATATTAAGAGACCACTTATGTTGAAAATTAGAGATTAAGATAGAGGTAGTGCCATTTGACATTTTAAAGTTGGGCTGTGTCGCGCCGACGGGGTGAGTCATTCATTAACTGAAATATGGTGGTTCTAGTTACCCCAACTCTTTAGCATTTTTGCCAAATGGCGTTTTTCTAATGTGCAGACCCCTACGTCTACAACGCTGCAAAGTGGAAGTACTACCAGTAAACCAATCTGCTGACTTCTTCAGTGAAAATTCCTCCAATCCTATTCATTGAACTAGATCACACAACTAAGATATCCCAATGGGAAAGTTTTCTATATTGAGGTTCTTATCTCACTGTGAAGTTTCAAAAAAAATAATAAATACGTATTTTTTCTTTTTTTCGTAAGATCAAAAAGGACCCCGCACCGCATCAATGGGAAATTGGCTTTCGGTGAATTTACTCCAATTTTTTATGTATTGTAGTACTCGAGGTGCTGATCAAATGTCTCCATTGCACCAACGCACTCTAAAATCAACAGTCAAGTTTATATATGGTGATAGAGTTGACTATTCTGAAATTTTAGATACAAATTGTGAAGACACCTTACATAATTTCAAAACCAAATCAACTGTGCATTGATTGCAGTGACCGATACGAATCTACTATGAAGGATAATAATTTCTGCACGTACTAACAATATACAGAGTGTGTCGGAACATAGCGAATAATTCAGTGGTTTTCGGAAAAGTGGGCGGTGGAATTTTTTAGATTTGTAGTATACAAATATCATCACCAATTCGTGATATTAGCGTCTCCTAATCAGACCTCTTATATACAAGATGTTTTATTTTTCATGTCACATCCATGTTAGGTACTTATTATTGGCATCGTTATCATGACTTACAAATTGAACAACCTAGTGGGAAACTCGTTCATTCCATGATGAATGTTCACTCTGCAGATACGTGAAATATACGAAGTGTATGAAAAATCAATGGTCTTTGCTAATAACTTCTCAAGAATAGTGCATACAGATCCTTGCGATCCTGACCCTGTTTTATAACGACATTATATTCAATAAAAATACTATGAACCTTTCGATGTAGTATATATTGAATATTATGTAAGAATAACGTACTGCAGGTATCATATAATAGGTTTTTCAGGTGATAGTGAAACAATAAACAATAGGAAACAATATCAATGAATATATATAATTATTATGGATAACAAAATTTTCTGATATTCAATCACAACAGAAGTTCTGTACCTTACATAGTGTATTATTTCGTGTTATGACAAGCAATTATATTTACTCGATCACTATTTCATAAAACGAATTCGTTTCTCGAAATGAAGCATTTGAATTTATTCAACTTCTTGAACAGTTTCCAGAATACAATTCGTCATACTCAATTCGAGAATACCTCAACCCTGAAACAGAAATAAGAGTAGTAGACTGTTTATTATCAATGATTAATTTCAATGAAATGGATCACAAGAATTTGTACATACTATTCTTGAGAAGTTATTAGCAAAGACCATTGATTTTTCATCCACTCCGTATATTCCACGTATTTGCAGAGTGGACATTCATCAGGGAATGAACGAGTTCACCAATAGGTTGTTCAAGTTGTGAGTCATAATAAGGATGCCAATAATAAGTTCCTAACATGGATGGATGATTCTCGGAAATTATTCTTTGAATGCATAATAACTATATCATAAATGCAATGGGATATAAAAGGTTCTTCAATCCTACTTTGTCAAGTATTATGAATGATTCCCATAAATCTCTCATTGGCTGAATGAGGTTGATTGATTATAAAGATAAATTATTATATTTTGCGATAGTATCTATAATTTTTCACTATCGTTATATGTATCACAATATGTTATTCATAAATTGCTAGTAATTTTTTGCTAATCAATTTGTTCCTTTTATTAAAACGGATCTATTTTTTAGGGAAGTTGCAGATTATATCTTGCAACAGTTGCAACAGCGCCAAATACTTCGAGTTCGTCCACACCACTCAAAGTACTGACAAGCACAACAAGAGGACTCAGGTACGATATCCCAGAGATGTTTCTCTTGGGACATCCATCAGATGTTTCCATTGGATGTTCTAGAAACATCCCATTTGATCTTTTTTTATAAACAATATCATGGTTCCATATTCGCTAATGATGATTGACATGATTGAATAGTTCAAACAATTGTGACATTTGAAACATTGAAGAGTTGGTGAAAAATGGAAATCAAAACTGTATTCGTACTCATATACTTATACATTATACCAAAGCCGGCTAATTTCATCGATAACAAATTGAAATAATTATACTAAATATTCCTCAATAGGATTACCAAAGTACCTGTTTAACATCATGAACCATGTAATAAACGACAAAATTGAAATATATCTCTCCAGCATATTTATTGCTGAATTTATTTGTTATACCAGCCGATAGATGGCGGTACAACTACGTTGCTAAGAGTTACTAACAGCTTTCGGCCCAGCACCAACAAATATGAGCCTCAAACAACTGTTATCATCTTCCATTAGTTATTAGACCGCACCGACCTTATATTTTCTGATTCTGATTGTTACTTTATATTTGGAAATAGGTCGTCCAATTTCAGGATTTCGGATTGAATATAATTCATACCGTGTCATCAAATACTGTCATCAAACAAAGAACATCCTAGAAGTTTCTTTAAGATGTTCCATATCTAGTACCCTGAATGTCTCTGGTACATCCCGTATCATCCCACAAACATTCTGATGGGATGTTTATAAGACATCGCAAATGCTGACAAGGGTGTTGCCAGCAACATCCCAAGAATGTCCCAAGGAAATCAGGGATTTTCCAGAGATGTTCCTATCATTCCATATGGGTGTTTCTACGACGTCTTATAGATGTTATTGTGTTATTAGGGAAGGAGCCACGGGTGTCGGCTTCATTCTGTTCTGATGACAGTAAATTAGGAAGGATATAGTATCATTGAATGTAGCAGATAGTGATTCATTGATTCAATGGTATTTACGTTTAGGATCGAGCTCTCTATTAGAGATATTTCAATGCATAAATAACAAAACCATAACCTGTCAGAATGAAGCCAACTACCTTCTGCATTCTTGCTCCGAGTGTATTTGTGGTTGTGTATGTTTTTGTTTACCAGTTTTACTTCTCCTCGCTTCTATTAATTTCATCCGTTTTTCATTCGTTACCTATTCGGTCGCCATTCTGTACAGCGTGGACATAAAACTGGAGAATTCCGAACTTATTTTATGAAAATTCATTTGGAGGAAACTTCCCCATTGTCAGCAGACCGAAAGCGGCTGATATGGCCTGGTGGGTCGAAACCTCGGCAGAAACAGTACTATATCTCGCTCCTGCTGACAATAGGGGCAACTCTGTTCATCCTACATGTTAGTTATGAGATCTAGTTCAAAGATTACCTACTATATTAGACCTCTGCTTCGATCCCTCTGTATACCTGCTCTGTATGCGTTTTCTTAGACATCAGGACATGAGTGAGAGTTCACACTCCAAGGCAATTGTTGGTGAAATAAATAAAACAGCTGAGGTCGATACTAAATTTTAATCGAATCTGAATATCAGAAACACGTTTACTATTGATGAAGTGAACATAGTACAAACATACGATACCTACCCATAAAACTGAGCATATAGAACATATACAAATATTTAAAATCGAATACTAGTACAAATTTCGACAGCAAAGTTTTTTTTTTGATAGGTATTGATATTTTTCTTGGAATATTTTCGGTTCTGAAAAATTAAAATTCGTCGAAATTTTTACGGAAGTACCCCCGTGTATCACGGAATTATGGAGGTAGGATTCTGAAATTTGCAGGAAGAAGGGAAAGTCCAAAGATAAAGTCAATTACGTAAGATACGGGGGTGCTTCCGTAAAAAGTGAGACAAAATTCAATTTTTCAGAACTGAACATTTTCCAGGGAAAATATGAATAGTTAGTGAATTGGGCGTCCTGATTCCGAATCCGAAGTGATTTTCAACCTATTTTGACTCCTAATATCATTTTCCGGAAATTGGGGTGGTTTCATGGCTGTTGGCGAGCAGTGTATATCACTGAAGATGACCCCACTTGGTCATAGAGTGCATATTTGGTATATCTCTCGCTCCAGCAAATCTCAGGATCCTTACCCAACGATTACTTAAGATACAGGGGTGTTTCCATTAGAAGTGGGTCACACTGTATATATATATTGCCTTAAGGAAGTTTTTTAAATTTTTTTTTTGACAAATGTGGCTTAGAGATTTTTCTAAAAATAACCGCTAGAATGTGGTTAAAATCCACAATTCACAAACAAAAATACGACTTTGTATCTACAATTTATCTATGATCTAAATTATTTCTGTAATTTTGTCATTCCAAACATAAGACCATAGTGTTGATCATGTATTCGAGTTGGAAGTTTGAAAAACTGCAGAGCAGATTTTCGGGAAACTTACTTTTCAACCCTTGAAGTACGTGTACCTCTTGGAGAAAAACAAAAAAAAAAATTCAAAAACTGTCAACTTTTGCATGATGCATATCAGGGTTTAATCTACTAGTTACCACCTTCCCTATCACATCTCCAAAGGAATGTATCGAATTACCAGTAACCCTGTATTTATATATATTCTTCTTCGAGGTGCAAACCACAGTGGAATACCCTGGAATTCTCTGAGTTTCCTTGGACTTCCTTGGGAGAAGTGCGGTATAATTCTGGTCTACAAACAACTGTAATTACTAGCTTGGATTTCCTTGAAATTCCTTGGGATTCTTTGGTATAATCCTGGTCAACACATACTGGATATTGTTGAATAGGATCGCTAGTCTACCTCGAAGGCATCTGGACATTATTTAGGTAGTTTATAGTTGAGTGTTTTGAAAAAAAAAATTGAAATCAAAAGAAAATGGTTTGCTCTATCCCCCCCCCACAGAAAAAAATTATATACGCCCTTGCAGATGATGACTTTCATATCCGCCAAAAACAAAAATTAGGGACGTTCTTTCATTCACCGGTGGCTCCACCAATCCACCAACTGCGTTCATAATTATATTCTTTGGTGGATTTCAGTTTGACGTAACCACGCGTTCATTATTACTGTTGTGTCAATCAAAATTGAAAACCATTCCAGCGATGTACAGAGATGGTGAACGAACTTTGGTGGATTTCGAAATGACAGCGACAGCATAACCTCAAGAAACTGGAAACAAAATATTGGATTCGAAAGCCGTTTGCCGTATGCCTAAGAAATAATATGAATGAATTAATCAAAATCAGCCTAGAATATGAAAATGAAAGAATAGCTGCATTATTCACACAAACAGAAATAGAAGACATTTCGAGTGGTAGTTACTTTTCTCCTTCCCATCATGAATTTCGAGAAATTAGTGCCACCATTCATGAAACTTGAGAACCAACAGAGAATTCTTATCAATGACTCTATCCATATCATCATAATTTGATGCAATATTTTGTACATCGGTTGTTGGGAATTCTCAACCTATCTCGTCAACTCCCCAATATAAACAATACCTATTATTTCATCCTCAGAACTATCAGAAGAACTGCTAGAACTATTGGATCTAGAGACTCCGATAACACTTTCAATACATCATTTTTCATTTTACATTTATTTTCACCAATTCTGAGCTTCTAATAGAAAACAATCTAAATCCCCATCAAATCACAAAAAAAAAAGAAAAAGCGATTATTGTGATTGTCATGCCTAATAACTGTGTTTTTTTCTTCAACACTGATGACTCCAACAATTCGATGCATCAGAGAGTGTCGTCACTTTCATCAATGATGGAAATGTGGTGTGAAAAAGAACATGCCTATTATATCTACGAGCGCATCAAACGAACGACCAGCACAATCGGCACCATCCCTCCCAAGGTCACGCTACAAGCGCTAAGCCGCGCCGACCCGTTGGGACTAATCAGCGCGCCGTCCCTGCCGAAATCCCGGCCGTATATGCCGAAGGTCAGCAGCCGGGTCTGCGGCTGCGCACACGCGTGTGTCCTCTCCACGTGTTCCCCCACCACGGCTCTCGACCACGTGGTGTGGCGCGGCGAGATGGGTCTGAGCGAGGCGAGCAGAGAGTTGGGGAACTGCACTCTGTCGGGGTCGTTGGGGAACTTGGCGGTGACTTTGATGGTGTTGAAGGTGATGGGCCAGGATATGTCGTCGAAGTTTGGGAACCTAGAAGAAACTATGTAGTGATACTTTCCAAAAGTTGAATATGTCGTGGTTCTCAGCTAATTCATTTACAAAATGTGCAGCACATGTACTCCACCCGTGGAAGAGTGGCACTGAATGTTACTATTCCTAGAGTGAACAAATCTATTGCTCAGAAGTCATTATTCTACATTGCTCCGAAAATTCACAATATCTTACCAGGATATATAAAAACAATAAATAATATAAGACTCCTAAAAAAAAAGGTCAAAACGTGGATGCTAAATCTGGGAAGGCTTTTTTTCCATCAAATAATCGATCAATCTTGAATAATAATGGAATAGGAAACAATGTATCATATTACGAATAATTTCATTCTTGATTTTATTAGATGTGAGATCATATAGTTAATTATATATACCAATTTTTTTTTTCTTCATCAACTGTGTACCAATGTTAATTACAGTATAAGTGAATCTTCGCCAATCCATAGACAGGTTCTTGAAGAACCTACATGGAAAAGCATTTGCAATAATATTGGATGTTGAAAAAAATCAATCTCAATCCTCAGAATTATTTACTCAGAAACTTGAGGATAGTCTTGAAAACAGATCAAACACTCAATATTTACTATGGACAGGTGGAATCACGGCTGAGATATGGTGTGATAAGAACTATTTCTGGTGTTTCGCGATGGTTGAATATGTGGTTCTCAGCTAATTCTCTGTATTTGAATTCTGAAAAGACACACTTTCTCAGATTTCGGAATTACCAAAAGTCTTGCCCGAAACTGAATTTCGAAATTAGTGACAATCAAATGGCCCAAAATTGTACAAGTGCTATTTCTAGTGTTTCGCGACGGTATAGTTGTAGGGATCTTTTCAAGAAATTGAACATCCTAACATAACCTTATTCACTTCATATATTTGAATTATGCAGTTATATCTTCAAAAATAGAGAAATATTTATCAAAAGATCAGAAATTCATGATAAAAAACCAAGGTACAAAGATAACTTTCATATTCCGCAAGACATTTAATCGCATACCAATCTCCTGATAGTGCTGGTTTGATTTTTTTCAATAGGCTACCTAATGAATTGAAATGTTTTACTCTCCAAAACTTTAGGAGGAAGTTGAAATTGTTCCTCATTGATAAATGTCTTTATTCAGTCAATGATTTTTTAACGTGTTATTTTATTCAATCAGTTGTGATTGTGACAGTATCATACTTTTTATGCGTATATATTTTTGTGTATCTGTGATGTTTTTCTTTTCAATACTTACTACTTACTAATATGATGACTATTCCTATACAAATGTATTTATCATGAAGGAAAATAAAGTATTATTATATAATTATTATTATTATTATTATTATTATTGTAAGTATTGCTCCAATTCACTTAAAGTAGGACAAATCACTACTAAATGCCACTGCGTTTAAAAATTTTTCTATCTGAGATCTTAAAAGAGAAATCCGATCGTTTGTCAGTGGCACTTTGTTGTGAAAAATGTTTGAAGAAAAGAAAATATAGATACAAAATTGAATAGTGCATTATCCACTGGAAAAATATTATATTTTAGCTCACGGTTTTTTGTCTCGCTCCGCTATGCGTCGGAAGACAACACAACCTGGAGCTAAAATCTACTACTAAGTAACTATTGATGGGTCCTACAGTCTTTATAACGGAGATACAGGGTCGATATCGATTTCGAATAATTATTCGATTGTCCATAAGTATTAAACTACCCAGCACCATTTCCTCAAATTTGGTATGGAGCTTATTCTTGGCACAAGTACTCACCTCATACCACAAGACGAAACAGACCGGTTCAAACATGCCATCACCGCGCATGATTCTATTCCAAGTTCCCTCAATCCAGAAAAGGATCGGATGCCATTGAACACCCCCAAATGATAGACATAGTGTTGGCTCTTCAAGGTATCATTAGCAGTTTTCGATGTGATGGTTAAGTTGAAGAGACAACACGTTTTGATTTCGGAACCGTCGCAAACTTCTTCTACGACGGTCTCTTTGGTAGTGTCCAAAACAACTGTAGTATGCCCTGAAAGAATAGTAGATTGTTTCATTAGGATTAAAAGTGAAACTTTGTTTGGCAAGCAAATTTTGCATCTGCGAGACGGAGCGTTCAGCGAAGCCTAACTAAAGCAAAATTTGCGAGTCAAACAAAGTCACTTTTGATCCGAATGGAACATGTTATTTTTTATGCAACCGGAACAATTGACTCAAATAAATATGTGAAGTAACCACCAATGCCGCGTCATATGTATGCAATGCAACAACCCAGATAACACGAAGACGTCCTGTGTACGTCCAGAGGACGTACATCTGGGACATACAAGACGTCCTGAAGACGTCCAGTGTCGGTCGAAGACGTCCACAGGACGTATTGGGGACGTCCGATGTTACAAGATGGAACGTCCCAGGGACGTCCATATTAAGTCCAAGTTTGGTATTTCATCGCCATGAATACCATAATCAACGTAGATTCGCCCTTTTTTTACTCAGATAGATAAACAAGACATTTATACAGAGTAAAAAATATTATTTCGAATAAAAAAATTTAAAAAAATCCTTCCTACTGGGGGATCGATCCGCGACCTCTGAATTACCGAGCAGATGCTTTACCAACAACTCTACACGACACTTATTGAATATAAGACTTACCTCTGTTCAAAATATGCGAGTATAAGAGGGAAACGTAAACATTCAGTGCAGAAACACTTCACCTATGTGTACATAATTTCATCTTCAAGTATATCCTACGAAATCTCTGAATCCAATAAAGAGGTAACACTCTATTTAGGATAAAAATATATATGCGAACATTGCCAAATTTACTTCAATTTCTCCACATTGGTCACAAAAAATCACGTGATTCATTGTGACCTATTATCGAATTGATCGGCAGCCATTAATAAGGGCCCTCATTCCTTCTCCATTTGATCACATCTGGCAATGTTTTATTGTTATTGGAGAATATAATAAATATAGAGTGATTAATGAATATTGGAAATATGAAGACTAAAAATGGACGTCCTGAAAACGTACGCTCTGTACGTCCCGAAGACGTACGGCATGGTACGTTCTGAGGACGTCCATATTAGGTTTCGGGACGTACGGACCCGAATCGGACGTAATATGTACGTCCCCGGGACGTCGTGTGCTATCTGGGAAATGATCCGTGTGGTGAGAATATTCTACCTGCATTAACAGATCAGGTTTATTCAATTTTCAAGGATGTTCGAATTGTAGTTACGATATAAATACAACCACAGAGTGGCCTATTTGTGTATGGGCCAGGTGCTCTAATGGCAAATACCGCGCCAGTGCCAGGTATAGGAACAAGACGTGGAAAATATTAGGTTAGTGAGCGTGAAATAGATAATGAAATAAATGAATACAAGCAAATTCACTTCAGTACATAGTTGCACAGTCTGGGCGGTAGACGGCTCTGGCTTACTCAGCACAAAAAAAAAACAACATAATATAGCTGACGGCACATTTCAATTTTTTCGTCTTATGAATCTTTGTATGCGTATAAATGATGTGAATTTTAATAATTTTCATGAAATATCTGTTATTCGGTTTAGTGTTGACTGATACTTTGAATTATTACAAATCAAATTTTGTCGAAACCATGACCATGCCAACGTACCAAATACGAGTGAAATCTCATAAGCCGTTTCAAAGTTATGAAGCCAAAACGATCTGAAAATTGTGACTCCAGAGCCGTCATGCGCCCAAACTAAACAACTTTGTACTGAGGTAAGTTTGCTTTTATAAAATTGTCTTGGTCAGAGGAATAGGTATGTGGTAAGTTTCGGTGAAGACCTTTTAGGTTCACCCTGTATATACTTACTGCTCATGGATAAATCGGTGATCAGATGAAAATTATCCATTTCCTTGGCAACAGCTTCAATGTCCTCGACGACTGCGGCAAATTCCCTGAAAGGATTATTCGAAATATTTGGTCTCGGTACTCTTCTCAGAATACCCCTTGTACCTCCTTCGCCACTTACTATATGAGTTGCTAATGGACCTTGATCTCCTGAAAAATCACCAGTGGCAATGTAGATAAATCAATTAATCAGTCAATCAATCAATCTTATTTTTATTCAGTTGAATTATTTCTGGATTCTTCACCATTCACGTTGTCTTTTTTACTTTTTTTAATTTATTTTATTTTATTTACACAAACAGGAATACAAACATCAGGTTCTAACCCAGTGACAGTATTCACATATAGGTATACTAAATATGTCATGTTGTTGGGAATTCAATTCCATTACAATGCAGAATTTTATATATTTTATATGAAAAAGAAAATTTTTCAATATATCATCAATTGGATGCTGGAACAAAATGTTTCTTGAGTTTGTTCACCAAAATTGTTGAAGATTCGAAACAAATATCAATCTCTATTATGTTTGAAATGGAGTTATAACTTTTCAAGCATGATGTAAAGGGGAGTTGAGATGGTAATTTGTGTTCGGTATATGGATGTATGGAACAAGTTATAATAGCGAGTGGAATATTGTGGTTCTAATGGATCAAGTTATTTATAGATGAGGAATGAATGATTCCATTTATAATTTTGAACGAGTATTTGATCGGCGATAGCTTTTCTGTCAGCAAGACTAATCAAATTGAGTTTTCGAATTTCTAAGTGATTTTGTGGCGTGTTTTTGAAATATTTTTCGTTGATATTAGCAATGAATTTATTCTGAATACTTCCTATTTGTTTGGTGAATATTATATAATAGGGATTCCATATGATTGAGCCGAAGCCTAGCAGACTATTCACGTATGACATGAAAATAGTACGCAAGGTATTATAATCTTTGAAAGGATACGTTGTTCTCAAAATTAAACCTAGCATTCTGTTCGCTTTCTTAGAAAGGTATAAAAAATATGTTCATTGAAAGTCATTTTTGAATCAAAAATAATTCCCAAATCCTTCACTTCACTATATATGTGGAGATAATGATCCTGCATGGTATAGTTATGAGTAATTAAATTAAATACTGTCTGTAGGTTAATCGAGGAGGTGGTACATTCATTATTCCAAATTTTTTGGGATTTTCTCTCCTCGTTTCTATAAAATAAAAATATGAATATTATTTCAATATACGTGTAGTAAGGACAAATCAGATGATTTGCCCCAAAATGTCACTGCGTTTAAAGAATTTTCCTATCAGGTGAAACCAAGAGACCTCTTTCAGTAAGGACGAAGGAACATAAGTACAATATAAAGAAAAAAAACATCGATAAATCGAAACTAGCTGAACATATCCTTACTGAAGACGGACAACATATGGCAGAGTGGAATAATATTAAAATCATTGGAAAAGAAGATAACAACCAGAAGAGAAAAATCAAGGAATCTGCTTGCATTCTTCTGAACGGAGACAATAGCATTGCTTCTTGTTCAGTTGATATAGACAGAACATGGTATTCACTACTAAAATCTGAACATAAAAATGGTAAATTCAAGCTTGATTAATGAAAACATCCTGTAACTCCTTTGATTGCCAACGTCACCAATTGTCATTGAAAACTGAAAAGCTTCAAGACATATTATACGACTTCGCAATTGAAAAAATCTCTTCATGTTGAAAACGGGAGCAGAATCGGTCCCGAAACGTCCAAAGATAAGTGAAAATTTGATATTTTTTCTATATACCTTTATTTCTCTTCCCCAAAAATTTTTCAATACAAATTGTCACTGACAAGCTAGTGAATTTTTCTTTTAGGCTCTCTGATAGGAAAATTCTTTAAACGCAGTGACATTTTGGGGCAAATCATCTGATTTGTCCTTACTACACGTATATTGAAATAATATTCATATTTTTATTTTATAGAAACGAGGAGAGAAAATCCCAAAAAATTTGGAATAATGAATTAAATTAAAGTTTCTACTAAAAGTCATCTGATGGCATTCGTTGAGATTCAGGAAGAGGGAGTTATTTCTGCAGTACTCTGAGAAGCGATCAAGGTCCTCTTTGAATGAGCATACAATCTTTCAAGTGTGAAACTGTATGAAATATTTTAAGATCGTCAGCATACATAAGGAAATACGAGAATTTGAAACATTCGGGGATATCATATATATAAATATTGAAAAGTAGGAGACCTAGATGTGAGCCTTGAGGAACACCCGACGTTATATTGACTGATCTTGAAAGATAATTACCAATACAAACTGTCTGATTACGATTACTTACGTAAGATTTGAAACCAATTCAGCAGGGAGCCGGTCACACCAACATCAGCCAGCTTTTGTACCAGCAATGTATGATCGATCTTATGAAAAGCTTTGCTGAAGTCGGTGTTAACAGCATCTACTTGAATTCGGCTGTTCAAGCTTTTTAAAATATATTCAGTATATTCGAATAAATTTGTTTCAACAGAGCGCATTCTGACAAATCCATGTTGTTGTATATTCAAAATGTTCATGACATCATGATACAAATAATCAAAAATAATGCTTTCGAATACTTTTGCTAATATACATAATTTGGACACTGGTCTGTAATTCTGAGGTAACTGTTTTTGGCCAGATTTATGAATTGGAATAACGAATGCTTTTTTCCAGGCGTTTGGAAAATGCCCTTCGGCCAGGGCCCTTATTCGGGAGATATTGTATTTTAGCTTTTATTACGTTTTCTGGTATGTAACAGTTATTCATATTTTGGATGTTAAAACGACTAGATGTCCTATTTCCTTGGTTTTTCGAAGGTTCACTGAAAACTGATAGGAATTGATCAGCAAATACTTTAGAAATAGCTTGACCATCCGTCACAATATCATCGATGATAATTATTATAGATGTTTTTCTACTAGAAGAGTTCTCTGTCTTTACATATTGCCAAAGGTGTTTGGGATCGGATGATATATTTTTCTCACATGAATCTATGAACTTTTTGTAGTCAAGTTCCATCAAATATTTAGAACGTCCACGTAACATTTGGAAGGTGAGATAATCCATGTCGTTATGGTATTTTTTCCATCTTGAGTGATATTTATTCTTCTATTTAACCACCTTGATGGTGCTAACAGAAAACCAACTAGGGAATCTTTTACAAATAATTGGATTTTTGGGAACAAATTAATCTATGGCTCTATTGATTTTGGAATATAGAAGATCAGTGGTACCATCAACAGTTTTTCCCAGGAAGATATTATGCCAATCAATCCCAGAAAAGAAATTGTTAATAGAGTCGTAATTAGCCTTATTGAAGTTGTAGGCATGAAATTTATTTTCCAGTTTACGAGTCGAGTCAATATTATAAGATAATTTCAAAAGAAATTTAAGGGTAGTATGAAACTTATCTTCACGAACCAGAGGCGATTGGCATAATTGTAACCTTCGTAAGTAACCACAGTTGTTGAATACAAGGTCAAGTGTATTTCCAGATGAATTAGTTAAATGATTGTATCGATTAATAAATTACTACTTATACTTACATCAGTATAATTTATAGGAGTACAAAGATTATTGATTTCATCAAAATGCCATTGATGTATGGAGGGAATATTGAAGTCACAACAAATAACAAAATTGTCATTAGTATGGCTAGTAATGATATTTGTCAATTTCGAGCAGAAAGAGCTCAAGGCCACATAGTTGAAGTTGCAGTTGAAACTTGAAAATTGCTACCTATGCAATCGATCATTTCGAATCTACCTGAAAAAATGTATTCCTTCAATTAAACAGGACACGAACTCCGTTATTTTACATAGAAGCTGACGGAGTAAAGCAACTGTAATGGAAATTCACTAGAAGATAATTGATTGAATCAGCGTGACTGTGCCTTCCGCATGAAAATCTGCTAGTAGATGACGTCAAAATTGCAACAATGGAGGATTTTGGCTTACACCAAATTTCACTTCACTATCATCGTCGTTATCATCCGTTATTTTTTTATTGGTTGCTATCCGATAGTATACCTAAAGCATTCTCCAGGTCTTATTCATATGTTTTTCATTATCACTCTGTATTACATAGCAAGTATCGTGAAATATTCTACCGTTTTTCGCTATAATGTTATGAAGGAAAGTCAAAAACATTATCCCGACCACATATATATTCATCGGCAATGTCAAACAACAAATGAATTATTCACTATTGAAAATACTATTTCAATACCTGTGAATTCAAACGCTACTGAGCTGTGACATCAGTGTCTCCTTACAATTTGATTGGTTGGGATTTGTGACGGCTGGAAAGCACGCCACTGTTGCTAGAGGTCTCTATAAAACCCTTGGATCAATCTCATGTGCAAGATGGTGCAATTGGTTAATTGGTGATTCACTTCTGATCACTTTCAATTTACTCTGAACTGTGAAATATAAGTTTCAAGATTAGCTAGGATAAGATGTGATACAGGCATCTAACAATAAGACACTATCCACATGGTTTCCCCTTCCGTTCAGTTTGTTTGAGTCATGATGTTGACTAATTGTTATAATCATCAAATTGATCAGTCGTATATTATTCTATCTCAAGTATTCATTCCCGGAAAATATAATTGATGTTTTGACAAACAAACTATCTCCAATTATTGGTGCATTGAGAAGATGTCCCAAACTTGATATTTAAATTGCAAACATGATTCTCTACTCTCATATACTGAGTCGTATCAACTATTTAATAAATGTTCGGGGATCTTGTTCAAAAAATAATTTCAATAAAGTGTCAACATTATATAGAAAATCGTTAAAAGTATTGTATTTGATACACCAACCAATCAATTGTATGATATAACAAATACGTATTCGTTAGATTAAATATATAGAATTGAAACTCTTACAATATCATATAATATCATAAATAAAAAATTGAAGTCAAATATTATTTTGATACGGAATTCTGAGATTCATAATCATGAAACTAGACAATATAACTTGTTTCTCTTGACGCCGCTAGCTCCATATACTGGGACAAAGAATATTCACTCATTCAGCCTTAACTCAATTCAATAAACTAGGTACCTGGCAATATCAAAAATTGCAGAAATATAGAGAGGTACATTCAAAATTGAAGAAAAAAAAACTGATTATTTCTGAGCAAACTGGATAAAATTAATCATGCCATTTTACTATGGTTTTTCTACAAATATTATTCTTTTGTTTGCCAATTTACAGTTGTTGATATATTTTGAATGATGTAATGTTTACCTATGGGTATTTAATTATGTACTCTCTTATACCAGAGCCTATTCTGCCTGGAAGTTATTTCTTCAAGAAATAAAAAAATAAATGAATAAGTGAATAATGTCTTCAACAGAAAGATATAAAGCAACTGGTGCTAACCGAATGTTGCCAAGTTAAAATACCTACCTCATTCAGCGCATACTATTGACAAAAAGGCAGTGTTACTTGAATAAGAAATAGAAACATGTGAGCTAATTTAGCATAGATTGGTTCAAAATGTGTTCCTTTCCCTATGGCAGATGGGTATAAGTATAGGTACCTAGGTGAGTAGGTACTTTAAAACTTGAAACTACTTTGCAGGAAGGAATTCAGAACTGAATTTCATGAATATCTGAATTGTTTTTCAATACAAAATGGAATTTCACTTGTAATTTTAACGGGATTTTAACGAATCCACGAACAGATATCACTCATTTAACTAATTATGAAATGCAATAATTATTCAGTAGGTACCACGAAATTTTAGGTAGGTATCAGTTCAGTTGCTGTTACATGCATCAGTATCATATGCTGAATCAGAAAAATCGAGAAATTGTCACGTCTATTGTGCATACTATTGGCACCTGCGAGAAGTTTAGGATATTATAACCAATCCAAATTACTTACGCTTGTTGATTTCGGCGTTTTCATTATTTATTTATTTATAGGATAAATTGATGAGAAAAAAAATCAAACAATTATTTAAGGTGTTCCAGAGCCATATGTGTCGAGATATATTTTTTTCTAGGGATGACTGGGAAGACCCATTGAAAAAACTCACCAACAAATATACCGGATCCTCCGGAACCACGTCTGGGATTGTTGCATCCGGCAGAGAGGAAATTCACGTTATATTCTTGAGTGAACATTTGCTGAACTTGAAAGGCTGAAATAACAATTTCATTACCATTAAGTAGTAAAAACCGGGTGGCAAATCTTGAATCTTTTCCTGAGGATGTTAAGATAATTAGCGAAAGACGTCGTGTCAAGCCGTTACAAAATCAGTTTAGTGGTAAAACAGTGTACCCTAGTATGATTATATCGTGCCAAAGGTCTTCGATAAGTGTTATAATACTGTGATTAACTATACAATTTTGTTACATGATGTCAGTTGTGAGAACGGTTAGGTATAGAACGATCTTATGAGAACATATTTTTATAAAGTGAAATCATTCTGCTATAAGTGAACAATGAGAGAATTCTTCAATAGGCATAGAATACCAATTATAGGATCATCTCTTCTCTGTGAGATCTGGTTTACTAGTACTACAGTACCTACAGTGTTATCACTTGATCAATTTTTTATCTCACCTGTCAGATATGGCAGTTCTCCGAACCAGCAATGCGGAAACACTATGTTCTTGACTCCATGTTCTTTGATCAACTCCAATGTTGGTGTGCCGAATAAAATGTCGAAACAAGTGAAGATGCCGAAAGTGTCGTTATCATTTGTCGTGATGGCCACTACGTCTACTTCCGGAGTCGATTGGAGGTGGTGTTCTCCAAATCGGTTGAATTTTCTATATCTGAAATATACACATGAAGGGGTTGATCATGTTGTTTCAGAGTTTATTTCAAACAATTAATGCATGTTTTGAATTGACTCGGCCGTTACTTGATAGAAATCCATAGCAAATGTGGAAACTTCACAAACGATAAGATTTCCACAAAAATTCTTAGTCACACGACATGTTTCGCTAACACACTAGTTTCATCAGGTGAAATAGTGGTGCAATGAAATAAACTAATAACATTGGCTTGCCTAAACTCATATACAGGGTGGCATTGAAATAAGCGCAATTATTTCAAACACTGAGAAAGCTCGACGTGTACTATCGAATGACACTAATAAGAAAAATTCAGGGATCAAAATAGAATTTGAGGTTAGACCCGTCCACCCAAAGTTCTACACTGTAGCAAATCTGACGCCACCTCTGTTCAAATTTCCATGCGGTAGGCACAATCACGCGGAGTTCAATCATTTAAATTGCTTTAAAGTTGCGTACTTGATTTTTTACTCGTATTTTGTTCAATTTTTGGGATAAAATTTCTCGTTAATTAGAAGAATTAGAAAAAATCTGATATTATGGGAATATTCCTTAGACTGTATTATATTACTGAATATGTGCACTTATTTCAAAAACACCTTGTATATCCTACAACCTGAAGGATTAAAATTACCAGTGGAAAGTTTCGATAAACCTTAATTTTCGGAAAATAGGCACAATATCCACATTAAAATACGGTTTAACGGATTAACTTGAAAGGGTTGATAGCGGATCCTTATACATCATCAGAACGTATCGACACAGAACCGTTGACATTTGACACCCGTAAAAAGAAGGATCCGTACAATGACAGACTGGTAAGAGCAAAGACTATCGAAACTCTAGATCCGTATAACGCAAGACCCGTACATCGACAGACTCGTAAAACACCAAACTGTCAAACTTGCAGAACCGTAAAAAGTCAGAACCGTGAAACTGCAGACCCGTAAAAGGGCAGAATTGTAAAACGACAGACTTGTACATTGACAGAATCGTGCAACTACCGACCCGTAAAAGTCCAAAATCGTACGGATGAAGACCGCGTAATGAGAAAAATCGTAAAAAACCAAACCCGTAAAATAGCAGACTCGTAAAATGACAGAACCGTACATCAACAGACCGTCAATGTACCGGAATGTGTGGGACGCGTAGAGATTCGGAAGAAGCGATGGCGCACTGTTGCCAAGTTAGTTAGAAAGAAATTCCGTGCATGCTCCTCAGATCTTATTCAAATTGTTTTATAAAGAATCCAGGAGGACTGAAAAGTGAAAATGTTCGTACGATGGAGTATGTTTGATTGATTATTCAAATCATCATTTTCCGGAAAATTGGGGTGGTTCCATGGATGTTGGCGAGCAGTGTATATCACTGAAGATGACCCCACTTGGTCATAGAGTGCATTTCTTGGTATATCTCGCGCTCCAGCAAATTTCAGGATCCTTACCCAACGATTACGTAAGATACAAGGTTTGAGATATGTTTCGGCTATTCGAATGGCTATCTCCAGTCAAATTAGTACATTGAGGGATTGGCTTTTTGCCTCCTTTTCAAAATTACCCAATTTAAACACCATTTTTCAAATTGATTAATTGATTATGTATCAAGATGAGGTTTTCTCGCCTTCACGATGTCTTGAAATTTTCCACATACACTTTCATGTACTAATTTGACTGAAGATGGCCATTCGAATGGCCAAAACATGTCTCAAAACTTATTGAAACAGGATTGACTGCATCTTTTCAACATTAAACTTGTGGAGACGACTTCGAGTTTTCTTTCTTAAATAACCCTAATAACACACTTATGTCCTATGGATATCCTGAGGACGTCCTGAATGTCCCGACAGGACGTTCGAATTTGGTACCGTGGACGTCCATTGGACGTTTGTGGGACGCACAAATGTCCCACTTGAGGACCAAATAGGGACGTCCTTGAGGGATGTCCCTGGGACAACTATTGAATTCCTAAATCCTACAGTATTCCTCATCAACCACTACAGAGGACATCCTTAGGACATCAATAGGACAACCCATCAGCAACGCTAAGGGGTATCAATTGGATGTCCATAGGATGTCCCTGGGACGTACGAATTATTCTCGAATTTGAATTTTTCTGGGTCCCTCTAGGACCAGATCTTGCATAACTGATTAGGACATCCAGTTGAGTTGATGGTCCGTAGAAGATCCCCAAAAAGTTTCCCAAGGATGTCCAATGGACTTACGTGAAGGACATTGACGAAGAGTTCTTATAGCCTACGAGCAATTATTCGTCGGCGAGGTGTAAGTTAACGTCCTCGCAGGGACAACATATTGAAAGTACCGACTGGGACGTCCATATAGGACATTATTTCTAGGACATTGGAAGAGTACAGTTCATGTACCAATTGGGACATCCGACGGATATCCCTAAGGGACATTCAAAGGATGTCCCTAAGGGACATTTCGATTGTTATACGATCCTGGGAATATTATGGGCGTCTGTGCAGAGATATTTGAAGGAATGTACCATCAGGGACATTCCATGGTTGTCTAATTATATAAGATCTGAAGTCATGCCAGAATGTGTACTACTGGGGACATGCGATGGATGTCCCTAAAGGAACGTTTAAAATCATATCCAATCAGGGACATGCCAAGGACGTCCTTGCATGGACATTCTACAATATGTATACCACGTGGGACGTCTAAGGGATGCTATTTCTAGGACTTTTGAAATGATGTACCAGCTGGGACATTCCTTGGACGTCCTTTGCATGAGATGTACGGGATGCGACGTCCCAAGGACACTTATTTTTGGTTCGGGACATTCGGACGTGAATTGTACCAAATAGGGACGTCCCTAGGACGTTGTGTGCTATTAGGGAATAATAAAGTTGATTGATTGATTGATTACATTTGACTGATCTGAATCACAAGTTACCTTCCTGACACGTAACCCTTCTCGTTGAATGCCACCACCGAGTTGTAATAAGCCAACCCCGAGCCCCCGCAACTGCCCACCAGGCACACGTCCTTCTCCACCATATTGATGATAATGGTGGCGTTGAATTCGATGGCTGCGCACGAGAACCGCTTCAAGTAGGGCTGGTACTTGTCTTTCGTGGAGTTGCAGATGACCTCTTCGAAGGGCCTCGGGACCTCGCTGCTGAGGGCCAGTGCATGCTTTTTCGGGATGAGGGTGGATTCGGGGAACACCACGATGTCCACTTCCTGCAATAGAACAGGTATCGTTGGATTCCCAAAATTGCACAACAACATCCTGTGTACGATGCCCCAGACAGCACAGAATATTCTATTACCCTAACAACACAGGGATGTCCTAGGTACGTCCCTTTTTGTCCCGCGGTACAAGGACATGATTGGGGCATCCAGGGGATGTCGCGCAGTGGTTGTCCAGTGGACATCCCGCCCGGTACATCCCTAGATTATCCTATTCGTGTCCCTGGAATATCTGATATCCATTCACATCAGAGTCATTGAATTTCATCAAAGTATTAAGTTGCATTTTTTTGAAAATGTTTGTTTTTCTTCCGGAAAATAATCGTAATGAAAATAAAGAATAAAGTTTCAGAACTTCTTAAGAAATTATCATTTTTCGCAAACAGAAATCGTACATGCATAATGCCCCTCATTTTTAAACACCCAAGAATGATATAATAATTATTCCCAAATCCTAACAAAGTTGTATTTATTCAGGTTTCTGTAGTTAAGTCCTGTTTATAAATCTGTTTAGTACATAAATCTTCAGGAGGCTCAATAGCCAATGGAGTAAGATGCGTGCCTGATAAGCCAAAGGTCCCGGGTTCAATCCGTACTCGACCCACATTTTTTTCTTTTGTCGAAGGGATGTCCCTGGGATATTCTCGGGACGTCCTAGGGATATCCTTCCTTCGTACTTGGTACATCCCAGGGACGTACCAGAAGGACATCCCTAGGATGCCTCTTTTTGTGGAAAGCGGATGTCCCTGGGACGTCCCTAGTATGTACCATGTCCCGACACAGGATATCCCAGGGACGTCCTCGTAGAAAATGAAGGACGTCCCTGGGACGTACTCGTGTTGTTAGGGTAATGTTCTCACAGCGCTCACAACATACCTCCACACAGCAAATTTCAGGTCCATTCCAATTCCAAACGTCCATGGACATTGAATGGACATCCAATGTACGTACAAACATGGATGATCATTGGATGCTTCAAATTGTATGTACCAGGTGATTCAGTAAGGGTGCGACGAAGTACCTTATCTCAGAAACTGATATTTCATGAAAACACGCCCCGCTAGCGAGGGCGATAAGATCCAGAATGGCATGAATGGTTTTTTATTTTATTCACCAAACCTTCCTGTTTTCATTCAAACCTTGTTAGTAGAATTATAAGTTCCTCAAATACAGTACCTCGTCTACCTTATTGAATCACCCGGTACAGTGGATGTCCATCTAATGTCCAACTATCCATGTTATCATAAAGATGGAAGTACAATGTATTTTCCAAAATTGAGGTCCGTTGAGAATTCATTTTATGTCACCTCAAGGACTCAACTCTCATGGACATTTGATCAACATCAATTGAACGTAAAAAGACAGACGTACCCCTAATAACACAATAACATCTGTAAGACGTCGTAGAAACATCCATATGGGATGATAGGAACATCTCTGGAAAATCCCTATTTTCCTTGGGACATTCTTGGGATGTTGCTGGCAACACCCGTGTCAGCATTTGCGATGTCTTACATCCCACAAACATCCCATCAGAATGTTTGTGGGATGATACGGGATGTACCAGAGACATTCAGGGTACTTGATATGGAACATCTTAAAGAAACTTTTATATAGGATGTTTTATGTTTGATGACAGTAATGGATGACACGGTATGAATTATTTTCGATCTGAAATCAAGAAAATGGCCGACCTATTTCCAGATATCAAGTAACAATCCGACTACGAAAATATAAGGTCGGTGCGGTCCAATAACGAATGGAAGATGAGAACAGCTGTTTGAGGCTCATATTTGTTGGCGCTGGGCCGACGGCTGTTAGTAACTCTTAGCAACGTAGTTGTACCGCCATCTATCGGCTGGTATAACAAATAAATACAGCAATAAATATGCTGAAGAGATATATTTTGATTTTGTCGTTTATCACATGGTTCATGAAGTTAAGCAGGTACTTGGTAATCTTATTGACGAATATTTAGTGAAATTATTTCAATTTGTTATCGATGAAATTAGCCGGCTTTGGTATAGGTATAAGTATATATGTACGAATACAGTTTTGATTTCCATTTTTTATCAACTTTTCGAATTTTCAAATGTCACAATTGTTTGAACTGTTCAATCATGTCAATCATCATTAGCAGATATGGAACCATGATATTGTTTATAAAAAAAAGATCAAATGGGATGTTTCTAGAACATCCAATGAAAACATCTGATGGATGTCCCAAGAGAAACATCTCTGGGATATCGTACCTAAGTCTGAAACATTGGGACATTTGTAGGACCTTAGCGGGATGTACCAGCAAGATCCCGTGTTGTTAGGGACATTCGATGATACAAATTGAACTTTCATTGGATATCCATTCAACGGCCATTCTAAGTTCAAGTATTCATGGATGAAGAATGAATGATTATATAAAGAAATGTTCAAACTGAAAAAACTATCTGAAATCATTTTCAGTCTGAAGGTTTATGGACGTGAAATGAACGTCCATTGTACGTTCAGAGATGGACGTGAGATCATTGATTTTTCTGCCACGATGGGTAGGAGGTAAGAATTGAAGGTCGAATCGGTATGTATACAAAGGGGTCAGTGAACGACATGAGCTCGAAAGTAACTACTTTGGAGACCTGCAGAACATCTCTTTTCAAAGACTCGTTCAGATGACCTCTCAGAAGGGCTTCGGGACCTCGCTACTGAGGGCCAGCGCGTGCTTTTTCGGAATAAGGGTGGATTCGGGGAACACCACGATGTCCACTTCCTGCGAGACAGCACGTATCGTGGGATTCCCAAAATTGCACAAGCAACATCCTGTCCCAGACAGCACCAGATATTCCATGAATATTCATAGAATATTATTTTTGGATATTGGGAATATTCATGAACATGCCAGGGATATACAGTCTGTCCAAGATAAGGTTGCACAGCATGGGGATCTCGAAAAACGGTAAGAGATACGAAGTCGGTTGAATGGGGAAAAAGTTGCGCATTCGGAGGCTCATATCAATAATTTTTTTAGTTTTCGAAAAAAGTGAATTTTTTGAATATCTTTTTTTTTCCTCTCCGTTATTATTAGAGATACAGAAAAACTGAGAATACTTTTTCATAGCAACTTTTGATGACGATGATGTTTTTTCGAAATTCCAAGAGAAAAATGCCATCAGTTCCACTTATTTTGAAGGAAAATTAGTCAACACACTAATACCATATCAACTGGTTCCAATCAAAAACTCATTTTATTTTGCGGAAACGAAAATTCAGAATATGTCAAGCGCTAAGACCAGGCGATGACGAAAGACGCAGGACATTCTGTGAGTGATATACCAAGAAATGTCAAAATTTTGAAGATTTCTCTCGAAAAATCATGTGAACTGATGGAAGCATGATGGTCACCAATAATGGTATCTTCAATAGAAAAATACACATTCTTGGTCACGAGAAAATGAACATGTATACAAAACAGCGAGACACCAACACCGTCTTTTTATTTACCATGAAACATTGACTTCCGAACGTTATAGAAATTTGCTTGAGAATCATCTTGAGGAAGCTCTGGATAATTTATTCCGATTGCGGAAGTTCAGAACTGTTGGTTTCAACAAGATGCTGCTCCGGCACATAATTCCAGAGAAGTCCGTGCGTTGTTATCCAGACAATTTCCCAAAAAATGGAACGGTATTCATTCAACAGTTCCTTGGCCGGCGCGTTAGCCTGATTTGACACAGCTGGATCTTTTCTTTGGGGATATATCAAAAACTTTGTTTACGCAAATAACCTTGATAATTAAGGAGAACTAAGGGACAGTGTCATCTAAGCATTCAATAGTATAAACCCAGAAATTCTTAGTAATGTCTTGAAAGCAACTGTGAGAAGAGGATTTCTTTGTTCAGAGAATAATGTTAATCATTTGAACATTTGTTATGAATGTTTCTGTTGGCATTGTCAAAGCTAAGTTGATAAAGTAATTCGTGTAAGAATTAATTAGCAATTTGAAGCGCTGCATTGAATAATTTAGTGTATTATTTTTCATTCACTTTTCAGTATTGAATAACTATTCCATCAATTCAAATATTCTCGAAGAATATCCTATGGACGTACTAACTAATCACTTATGTTTTCATTAGCTCTTTTCTTTTGGAGGGAGAAATAGCACAATGCCAAAACAACCCTACTTAACCATAATAGGTCAGGTTAGTGCTCTGAGACTGTGACCTAGGGCCACAAGTCTCAGAGGGTCACCCCTACATCGAGACGCAAGCGTACTCTAATGTGGTACAGACAAAGATCTAACAGGCTAAGACCAGCTTTCATGTGTTTACAGGTAATCAGTGGGAACGTGCTGCAAGTGGAGACACCTAGACAGTGTTAATCAAAGCATCGAATATCAACATTCCCCCCCATCGATTCAGAAAGATCGGATATCAAGCGTACATACCGATTGGCACGCGAAAGTCTCGAGAGCGGCGAATGGCGGCGATTATATCAATTGTACCGATTGTCCAGGGGCGGATCCAGGGGGGGCATGGGGCCATGACCCCCCCCCTCGGAAATCTCATGGATATGTAAAAATGTAGGTATTTTGAATAAATGAAAAAATTAATGTTTATATCTTCATAGCTAGAAACTTCGCAACAGCTCTGAGAAATTGCGAATTTGTAATATCACTCTGCTGTTTGGCAAATATATTTTTGATAACACTGCCACTCAGTAATTTGCTCCAAAAAAAAGCTTACGATGTTGTTAGTATCACTCTTCTGACGCTTCGAAATAAAAGGGATGATATTCTAAATACTATTTAAGTATTTCGAATGAAGCCAAACAGAAATTAAAAGAACTGAATGTTGAATTTTCGATGCCGAGAATAACAGGGAGACTGGTTCATAGACCAAATCCCGACCAACCTTCACCTTTGTGTGCCATCAATAACTAAAAATAAAACAGATGAGGAAATATATGAGGTATCACCATGGACGAATGATGAAATGTCCTTTTAGAAGATCGTTTCTGAAATGTATATATGGAATAAAATGAGGGATACTAAGCAAAATATACCAAACAATGGTATAACTGCCCTGAATTGCAGCAGTCTGAATGTTGATGATATCATCCAAAGATACGCTAGGCAGAAGAATAGAAGACTGGAATTGGTTTTCTTTATTTTATATATTTTTATTTTTGTCTGTTTAATTTGTTTTGTTTTTTGAAAGAAATAGTTTTATTCTCTTTTGAACCCAAGTTCTTCAAGAGAAATATTTTTTTATTTCCTTTTTCTATCTAATATGATTTATTACAGAATTTTACATATATTGATGGAATAAAAGTTTAAACTTGTTTTTTTACACCAGTAATTTCGATACTTGAAAGGAAACTAAAGATTTCATGTTTACGATAATCAATTTTTTGAATGAAAAAGCATTTGTCCCAGAAGGTCACCATATAATTTCTCTTCCGCGCTAATCTTATTGAGCCGTGCCCCCCCCCCCTCAAACATCGTCTGGATCCGCCCCTGCGATTGTCCTGTCATGTAGGTCTCGGTACTAACTAATTTTGATACTAGATATATTTAATAAATCAACAGGGAAATCTGTATTTTCAAATGTGAACTAGTAATTAGTGAAAATGGTAATTTTTTATACAAGTGAAAAAAGTATCCAAATTTAGAAAATATATATGTATATATATGTAGGTTAATCGGGAACGTGGTACATTCATTTTACTTGATTTTTTGAGATTTTCTCTCCTCGTTTCTATGAAATAAAAATATGCGTATTATTTCAATATATTTGTAGTGGGACAAATCAGATGATTTGCCCCAAAATGTCACTGCGTGTAACAAATTTTTCTATCAGGGAGCCTAAAAGATAAATCCAGTAGCTTACTCCTGATGTATTATTTACTGATATTCAATCGGAACAGATACAGTTAATCAAGTGTCGAGATAGGGATATGTGAGCCGTTTTGACCGATAATGAATAGTTTCGACACAAAAAAATCCTGACGTTGAAAAATCTCGATTTTGAACACCCTATATCTCTGTAATCATTTTCGTTAGACCCGAGGTGTGATACATCGATGAAATTAGCTCTTCAGGGAGAATCTAAAAATGCCATAAAATACAGGGTGTTCCATTCGAAATATCAATGTTGCTATTTCTTTCTAGTAGAAGCGGCAACACTGCATGAAAAGAGCGTATATAAGCACCCACATTTTCATGGATTTCTCCTGACTGATTCTCGATATAAAGATAGTGGAAGAGCTCGTCGTGACCTACCCTGTATAGCCTTCACCAGTTTTGAATTTTGTTATGCTTACTTGACCGGTATTTTCCAAAAGCTTAATGTAGTCATTTGTTCTAGATCCCACAACTTCCTCGGCTGGAGAAAAATCATTTGCTTGATCGAAGTATTCAACCACTAAGGCACTGTAAGTATATTTTTTCTCTTCGTCCTGAAAAATCAGTAATATGATATAAATTTAATATGAAGAGGAAATGAACACAATCAACAGACTCGAATGCATGACAATACTTTATGGTTTGATTGTCGATTCATACTCATACGAATATCTCAAGAAATGATGAAGATTTTTCAAGCTTCCGGAAAAAAATCTTGAAAGTTATTTCTTGATCCCTATATTAAATTTGAATAATTTTCTTTTTTCATTCACGATGTGACAAACTCCTCATGTTGAGTGATACGCAGGAGACATGATATAATCAATTGAACCCAAAAAAAAATTGACAAACAACAGGGATCTACTATAATCGAAAACTGAGGTATCTCTTTTAACTCGTTATTCAGTCCACATTTTTTTGAAGTAGAGGTTGTTGAATAGTTTACTCCCTATAATTTTATTAAAACCAACTATTTTTGTCTGAGGAGTATGAAATTTCGAATGTGATTTGTGCTGGGTCAATCAGTCACGGAAAAAAGGATTTGTTGCATCAACAAATTATTTATGCTTGAGTTATTTTTGTTGGACTGAGCAATTTTTTGTTGAATCAACCAGATACATGATTATTCCATGGAAGCAGCTTGTTCAAATCAAGAATGTAGTCTAATTGAATCAACAGTATAATATCAATTCCATCAACAAAATATATGGTTTCTTCAAAAACAAATTATGTCGATCCAAAATAATGTCGATGTTGATTCAACTATAAACATTTCGTTGATTTGATCAAACAATGATCATTTCGATGAGAATTTATCATTGAAACAACATACAAGTTGTCTTATTCCGATGTATCAATGAACTCGTTTCGAACGGATCATTTGCTTGAATAGAGCAACGAAATATGTAATATCAATGAAATATTTTGTTCATTCTACATCAACTTAAATTTTCGCCTCTAGATGGCGATAATTTCGCCTCGTCTATGCCAGCCCCGAGTTTATTATATACGTGAAGCCTGATTCTTCGTGTTTGAAATATCAGCAGGATAAGTCGAACTTAGGATGATTAGCAATTCGAAATAGTTTTCCATCAGCTAAAGAGAAGTAAAGACTGAAGACCTATGCTAGGAGTCGACTAGTTTCCTAGTTTTGTTCATTCTATTGATGTGAAATTTCAGAAAATTCCCGAATATTGAATTTGGTTCAACAAAACAATTTGTCGAATGGATATATAGTTTCTCTTGAATCAACAAAATATTCCATTGAATTAACCAAATATTTCATTGAATCAACCAAATATTTCATTCAATCAACCAAATATTTCATTGAAATTTCTTTGAATCATCCAAATATTTGGTTGAATCAACAAAATATTTGATTGAATCAATATCTTGTTATTTTGAATCAAACAAAATGTTTGTTTGAGTCAATTCAATATCTCTTTATAAACAATTCATGGATGTGCTTGATTGAAGAAGATCCAGAGTTCATGCAAGACATATTTACTATTTACTTGATTCAAACTACAAATTCGCTCTGAAACAAGATATAGATTTACTCATTTCAAGATTATATATTGTCGTGCATATATGACACTTTTATTTGCTCCATTCAATTAAATTTTGCTCGATTCAACAATTCCTTTTTTTCCGTGGTCAATCACAATAATTTTTGTTTCCACCTTATGTGATTCCACCCATTCTTAAGTAGAATTAGCCCACGAGCATGTTGGAGCTGTGATAGATGACGCAACCTTTGATACTGGCATAGCAACTGAATGAAAAACGCGTATCACGTCTCACAGAAATGGATATCGACAAATTGGCAAAAATGAATCATATAAACCCTGAAAATGTGACTGTAAGTAATGTACCTATCGTCTCTTGACCTGCTATAGTTATTACCGAATATTGTAATCCGAGGCGTAGCCGAGGATTATAACAACCGTATTCGTCATTTGCGTATTGGCCGTGTGTCCTTCAAGACTTTTCATAATCCCGCTGAAAGATTACATTTTGATTCCGAGGAAAAAACATTCCACGGACCCTGTAATTCTAGAAAAATCCCAACATCGTGTTGTCATGGCACAGCATAACAATATGACAGTAATATCATAACGGCCGCCGGCCGTTAAATAAACTTAACGGACAGAGCCTGACAAGCTATATTGACATTAACTTCACAATTGTCATCTGAATCCCGTTAAATAAATCAAAATAACAGTGTGGGATTACGAAATAGTTATTTTCCGTCGACCTCCTATTAACGAGTAAGTTTAATGTTTATGAAGATGACCCCTATTAATGATCAATTTTTCTATTAATGCACGATTGTTTTATAGGCAACCAAACATACACCGCGTGCATTCATTGTTTATGCTATAACTTACGGAATCTGCATTTAAATAAAAAATATAGATTTCATCGAAGATTTTCCGTTAATGGGTTCGCCTTTCCAAGTTTCTGAAAAAATTTTAATCCCTGTTTCTTAACACAAGGAATTTATATTCTATGTTGATTATTTCGACAAATGTCAAATGTCACTAATGTCAGTAACAAGGCTACTGGGTGATTCTTTTGTAACCAACTCGTATATTAAAACGCGATTAGTACACTAGTTGGTTAAATGAGTATTAACTAACAAGTGCAGAAAGTAGTACTTTTCCGCACGCTACGGCAGTTGGCAAGTCGTCAAGGGCGAAAAAGACATTTTCAGCAAGAGTTAGATACAAAGTTTTTCCTGCGAGTGTTTTTGTCCATATTATTTATGAAAAAAAAAGAAGGTTTTTAATAAACAATATTTTATAATGATACTACAAACTGACACATAAGACAGAATAGATACATGGATCATTTAGTTAGTTCTAAATATCATAAATATCCTTAACTTTTCCGCACGATATTTTCATGCACTGAAAAATAATGAAATAGATTTTTTTTTCATCGATATAATAGGAAACTTATTTGGAGAACATTTAAATAACAATAACTACACCTTTTCCAGATGTATTTCAGAAAGCGTCAATTGTAATTCAGATTTCTCAAATGGAATTCAGAAAACGTCAGATGTAATTCGGATTAGTCAATTGAAATTCAGGAAATATCAATTGTTATTCAGATTCGTCAACTGAAATTTAGAAAATATCAGTTGTAATTCAGATTTTTCAATTGAAATTCAGAATGCATCAATTGAAATTCAGATATCGTCATTTGTAATTCAGAATGCGTCAATTGTAATTCAGACTACGTAATTTGTAATTCAGATAAGTTACTTGAATTTCAGAAAAAATCAATTTAAATTCAGATTAGTCAAGTGAAATTCAGAAAACTTCAGAAGTCTCCTCCAACAAATCATACAGTTGTCTTTGAAGTTCATTCTATGAGATGATGTATAATTATTTGAATTTAGAATATTCGTTCCCAGGACAATATACAGTGTGACCCATTTAAGATGGAAGCACCCTTATAAAACTTACATTTTTCAACCGATTGGAATGATTTTTTTTTTGTTAGGTAGATATTCAAAAAGTCTATTAGGACACCAAATATCATGAATAAATCTCCATTTCCAGGGCCAACTAATCTGATTTTTCAAGGTCAAAAATCTAAAAAAATTACTAGCGATTTTTTTAGAAAATATCTGACTACACCACTGGATTTGTGACATTTTCAAATGGGTAACATGTAAATTACGATGAAATGCGTGAATCAATAAAAAAGTTATGAAGGAATGAAATTTGAAAAATATGCCGTTTAATCAACCCACCAATTCATGTTCAGGAATTTTATGAAAATTCTGTATACTCCACTGGATTCAGGATGTCTTGAAATATTACTGATCACAGTCACACATCGAAATCTGTTCAGTAATAAAAATTGATGGGTTGTTTAAACGGCATATTTTTCAAATTTCATTCCTTTTATAACTTTTTTATTGATTGACGCATTTCAACGTAATTTACATATTACCCATTTGAAAATGTCACAAATGCAGTGGTGTAGTCAGATTTTTTGTAAAAAAATCGCTATTAATTTTTTTAGATTTTTGACCTTGAAAAATCAGATTAGTTGGCCCTGGAAATGGAGATTTATTCATGATATTTGGTGTCCTAATAGATTTTTTGAATATCTACCTAACAAAAAAAAATCATTCCAATCGGTTGAAAAATGTAAGTTTTATAAGGGTGCTTCCATCTTAAATGGGTCACACTGTAGGTTATACACATTAGGTAGGTACTTGTGATAATGATGGAGTGTAGGTAGGTATGCATGCAAAGGTAACACTGTTCCATATTTCTGAATTATCATAAATATCCTTAACTTTTCCGCACGATATTTTCATGCACTGAAAAATAATGAAATAGATTTTTTTTTCATCGATATAATAGGAAACTTATTTGAAGAACATTTAAATAACAATAACTATGTAGAAAATTAACGATGGTAAATATTGAAATTAAAAGTGCAATTATTCGTGTTTGTTGCATGCTGTATTATAGCAGATGCTTCTTGAAGAACATATCGTTTCTTATTTGAATTTGATTGGTTAGTGTTCCGGGGGGAGATCTTGAAAGTTTCCTAAGTTGTCCATTACGTTCACGGAAAAATGACGCTTGAAATGCTTATATTTGTTGACTGCAACTACTGTCAGTTTCTATCGACTGTTGCTATGGGTACGTTCTGGTGGCAACAGTTACATGGTATTTCCTCCCGAAATCGGGCGGAAAAGTAAAAATAATGCGAAAAAGTTAAATAGTACGGAAAAAAACATTTTTCAAAATGAAAAATCATGCGGAAATAGTTATTTAACCAACTAGTGTATTAATGAGGGCGATTGATGATCGAGATATTTTAACGTGCGTTTTAAATGCAGATTCCGTAAGTTATAGCATAAACAATTAATGCACGCGGTGTATGTATGGTTGCCTATAAAAAAATCGTGCATTAATAGACAAATCGTTCATTAATAGGGGTCATTTATGAACGATTTCATATACATTAAACTTAGTCGTTAATACGAAGTCGACGGAAAAGATACTTTTCCGGAGCTCGTAGGAAAAACTCATAACAGCACGATTTTATCGTTTTTCACTATCTTGACACCTTGGACTGTAACATTCGTGATGAGTAATTTGACGTTTCACATAAATTGTCATTAAGAGTCTTTGTGAATCAGAGTTTGAAATCAAGAGAACAATAATAATTGAGAGAAATTGGAGATTTTTTGTGTTGTTTTGGGCTGCTAAAGCTCATTTTCTGCCCTTGTCACAAAATACATACTATTTTGTGGGATTGAATCCCAGCGAGCACAAACATCCCTGGGATGTTTTGGGATGTTTTGAAAATGTTGGCATGAAGATGTTATTTTGAGACGTAATATGCACTGACCAAAGAGGTCTTTGAAGGATATTGAAGTATTGTTTTTGTTCTTCTGTGGCATTTCTTTGTTTGTCTACTGAGAGGTATTCCTGGGATGTTTTGGGATGTTTTAGAAATGTAGGCATGAGGATGTTTTATGAGGCTAATATGCACTTCCCAAAGAGGTCTTAGAAGGATATTGAAAGTATTGTTTTTGTTCTTTTGTGCCCTTTCTTTGTTTGCCCCACCACAACGTCTCATGCTTCAATACATCACAATACGATGAATTCTGATTTGTTTTAGATTTTGTTCTTCTTGTTCGCAATTGGCATTCGCGTTTGCAGCGTGTCACGCTTACATCACGCTGCTAACGAACAGAAAGGAATTTGGTGAAGTTTATTGTGTTAGAAGACTTATTTAGTAATAATGTAATAATGACCATCAGATGCAAGATGTGTTGTTCGGTGCCTCAGTGTAATCAATATATAAAAGTATACGAATTCATCAATACACAGCTTCACCGCAGTTGCAAAATTATGCATTGTGGTGAACATTTCAAAAATTGGGAAACCTATTTCCAATTATATGTCTGTGTGTAGTAATTTCATATCAAGAAAATATTTTTATGTTCAATCAATTTTTAATGCATTTTTTTATTCAAGGGAAATGGAATCCTAATGCAATAGTTCATTTTGACAAAAGGCTTCAGAAAAGTACCTCGAAAATGGTTTTTTTACAGCGATTTAATGTGCGCAAGACGCGTTGAAAACTCGGTTGAAAATGTTCTGTTGTGTCCATGAAAAGGCTTTAAAAAGAACTAGGGAGAAGGTAGTTTTGTGACATATCAAGGACATCTTGATAATTGCCGCCTGCGGCGGACATTGGCTGTTCTATAATAGTTCTATTCATGTGTGAACAGAACATCGCAGTGGAGGTTCAATGTCTCGAAATCTCGTACTTTTAACATCTCTGAGATGTTTTTCTGCTCGCTGGGAAGCAACAAAAATAATCACTGAGTGCATATTGGATAAGTTATCGATTTCGATAGTATCTATGAAAATGTTCCGCTACAACATGTTCATGGCTTTAGAGAAAAACCTGAAGATTTCATCAGAGTCCACTAAAAAATTGTGAACAAATCTAAATAAACTACGCAACAGTAACTTCGTCGCACCGCAAACTGAAACTGTGAAAAATTTCGGAAATTTCAAATGGATCCCAAATGATCGAAACCTTTTTTTTAACTCTACTCATCTCTTTTATTTACGGAGTGATCTCAAAAAATTAACTTTTTGGTTTTGCAGTCATAACTGTTTTCCTTGGCAACCGATTTTTGAAATCTCAGGCTCATTTTGAAGCTGAAACTTCAGATGAAGAGATATGGAGATCAGAATTGACTCAAGATGAACATGATTCAAATGGAAGCACCTCTGTATATTTGGTAACGGTTGAGTTAGGATTCTGAAATTTGCAGGAGTGGTCGATATACTTACTGAAAATACACATTATAACCAAGTGGAGTCATCTCCAGTAATGTTCATCTTGAGTTGATTCTGATCTCCATATCTCTTCATCTGAAGTTCATGCTCCACAATGAGCCTCAGATTTTAAAAATCGGTTGACGAGGAAAAAAGTTATGACTGATTAAAGAGATAAGATGCCAATTCAAAAAATGTCTCAAGGTCTCATCTTCATGCCTCTGCTGCCAAGTTGGAAAACAAATTGTTCATTCATTTGGGGTCCTCTTGAAAATTTCGAAACTTTGCACAGTTTCAGATGACACCCTGTAGCGATTTTATATGAAGAACTTCATGTTTTAAAGAAGTACGAGCTTATAGCTGAAGGACTGGGCTAGCGATCAATGTGATCCTAATTCAGATTGTTCAATGCAGAAAAAAATTATCAATATTTTTTTTCGTTTTGGCATTCGGACATGGTCCATACAGCCAGTCACTCAACTCTATTTTTCATTCTATATTCATATTATTTAAACAGGGGCAAATGTTTCTGGTGCGACGAAATTAGTGTTGCGTTGTTTAATGATACAAAATATCAGAGAAATCCAAATGAAACAATTTAAACCTACGTCAAAATGAACGCATGCAAATGACTTCGAATGACGTTTATATTAATTTGCAGAATCGATGTATATGTGGATATCTTATTAATTCTTACCGTGACTGATGATGTTGTAGAAATACTCAGCACTAGTAACAGTATTTTACATAATTCGGCAAAATGAGCCATATCTGAAAAAGTAATGAGTTTTTTCAATGGATAACTGGATGGATAATCATTCAAGGGTCTACTGCTATTCAAACGGAAGTAGGTACGTTTCATTCTTATGAATAATGATGGAAGGTTACAAGGTATAAGTAGGTTATGTATACGAGCGATCCGGAATGACCAGACAGAACTATAATTTTTCATGGTAATTCAGATTTTCAGGTTCAAACTATATACAGTGTGTCCACCTTAAGGACTTACCACCCCTGTAAAATTGTTATTATCTGACCGATTTCAAGAAACTTTTTTTTGTTGAATGGGTATTTGAAATGTCCATCCAACAAGAGAGTGATTTTACTCATGAACTGTAATCGTGGCCAACTGCGACCAACTTTATTGACCCATATTTGAGAAAGTACAAAAAAACAATGATGGATTTTGAATCACGATCACTTGAAAAACACCTTTACTGATTTTTATCATCATAAAACACAGGGTGTCCGAAAAAACGAAATATGTTTTTTTTTAATATAGGTGATCAGAAAATGTAGTATTGTGGTATTTTTGAGAAGAACTGATGACACATTATTATTGAGGATCACTTTGAACATATCTGTACCGATTTTCATCATTCAAAAATACGATATGTATGAGAAAACAATTAAAAAGAAAAAGTAGGCAATATTTTTTCATCAACTCAAAAAAAAAGGTACTTTGATTTTTCGAACACCCTGTGTTAATGATGATGGAAATCGGTACAGGTATGTTCCAAGTGATCCTGATTCATCTTTTTATTTTGAGTGAAGAATTATCAGGATGAAAAATATTGCTTACCTATCCTTTTTAATTTTTTTCTCAGACACATCGTATATTCAATTGACTAAAATTGGTACAGGTATATTTGAAATAATCCTCAATGATAATTTGTGATTATTTCCTTTTAGAAAAACCACAGAACTACACTGATCACCTATTTGAAGAAAATGATGATTCGTTTTTTCAGACACCCTGTGTTTTATGATGATGAAAATCGGTACAGGTATATTTCAAGTGGTACTGATTCAGATGATTCATTTAAAACCTAATAAATGTCTCAGGAGTCCAAGTTTTGGTATTTAGGCATAAATTTAAATTGTAAACAACTTTTTTCCATATCATTCTGCTGAATTCTCTGGAATGAGGGTACTTTACTCTTGAGCAATTTTCATATTTTTTTACCTACCCTGTATGCTGTTTGACTTGCAACCATTCTAAGTGCACCTGGAATGATTACCGAACATGCACCAACTTTCGGCACTATCTGTATTTTGGTTGTGCAATTCATTAAAAAGATTCCCATATGTTGCACACTTAAATGACCACACTGTATACAGTGTTAAAGTTTATAATATTCATACATTTTTTCTAGATCTGCACATTGATAGCCCTGTATAAGCGTTTATGATTGCATGCAGTCTGTTTACGTGTGATTCTCTACATCAACATTTGATTTCGAAGAAGATCATATTTTTTTGTACAGGGTGATTCACCATAAATGTCCCCCCCCTCTAGCTCACTCATTGTTGAACCGACTTCAAAATATGAAAAATAATCTGTAATGATTTTTCAGTATTTTTTTATCCACTACATCAGAACATACAAGGTGCTCGGAACAAACGATCTACAGGGTGATAGTGGACTTTTTCAAATGGGATACCCTGTATTCCATTGCATTTTCAGGTTCTTCCTGAAGAGCTGATTTCATCAATGTATCATACTTCGGGTCTAGCGGGATTGGTTATTGAGATATAGGGTGTTCAAAATCCTGCACTCTGTATCTGTTCGAATTATTAAATTTCAGTTGATAGTAAATCAAAAGTTGAGAAGGGGACATGAAAGCCGTTTTGACCAATAATCAATAGCTTTGACACAATAAAAAATCCTAAAGTTGAAAAATCTCTATTTTGAACACCCTACATTTCTGTAATCATTCCCGCTAGACCCCAAGTGTGATGTATTGGTAAAATCAGCTCTACAATCTAAAAATACAATTTCAATTTAAAAAAATCAACTAGTACCCTATAGATCATTTATTCCAAGCACCCTGTATTTTCTGATGTAGTAGGAACAAAATTTATCAAACATAACTCTTTGTTAAAAAATAACTGAGCTAGAATGAGAGGGGGCATTTATGGTGAATCACCCTGTACATATACTGATGCTCTCAAATTTATATAAAAAAATATATACCTATATTTTTGGCAAAATTTAATACATTAGTATTGGCCAACGGTTATCGATAATCAGGTTCATCGCATATTATTTTTCGACTCGTTAACACGTGACGGCAGAGTATGTCCGGAATAACGGTAGCAAAAAAATCGCAAAAAAAATTAAGGTTTTGAGATCTACCATTCAATTGGTATATGATGCCGATATATAGATGGCATAATTCTCATTCCCATTACGCTATCAATTGTGAAATTTAGCGCAAACAAAGTGCCATTTTTCAATCATTTTACTCATGATAGTGATATTGGCACAGGTGCCGTTCGATAAAATACAATGATGTGTTTACTTGCAGCCGGCTCATGGACTATATAACTGTTCATTCTCAATTCGCGATAGAAAATATGCGTACGCCATCTACCAGTGTTCTTGAAAGCTGTCAGAGCGGCCTGTTTACTTTGTTGTCATTGGTTCACATTGTTCACAATAGTTCACATTTGTTTTCTGTTTGTGCTTATTGGTCACATCCATGTCACATCATCAAAACAAACCGCTCAGAAGTGTTCAAGTTGTTGCCGTCAGGTGGGGCAACATGTTATTTTCTATCGCGAATATATTCTTGCGAAAATACTGTGGAACCTACCAGCGAATCATAGCGCCCTTTTGGACCACCTCCATTATGACATGATTATGACCGCAATGACCAGAATCGTTCTGATTGGTCTATCTATCGTCTATACGTGCATACGGTAAATTTAAATTTACAACTGTTCAACAATCGCGATTTCTAACCATCAGTGCCGGATTTAGAGGGTGGGGCTATGGGACTATCAGCCCCCGGCGGTGAATTTCAAGAGGCGGTAAAGAAAAAGAGAAAAGAGGAAAAGCAAGCAGCAATATACAGTCGTTGACTGGTTGAGATAATTTTGTTGTGAAAATCATAACATGCACTAATCTAGCGTCAGCTGTGTCTTGGGTACAATACAAAAGCGGCGGCGGTACATACTTTTATCTGATGATGTGAAGAAAAACCGCATTCTACTCAGTAGAGTAGGGGTAATTTCGTGATTCGTCTAACTTAAGATGTCTAACTCAATAACAAAACACAAAATCACAAAATCAGAGTTCAGTATATTCAATAGGTTGTCGTTGGTATTGTTGGTTATGGTACTAAAAATAAATAAATATTGTAGGTAACTGAAATTAAAAAAAAAATGAGTCAAAAAGAAGGTGGTGCATTCTGGAAACGGCAGAAGATCAATAAACAAAAGCAGTTAGACGAAGTTGTCAAGAAATCACCTGAAATACATTAATTTTTTTCTAAATTCAAAAGAGACAGAATCAGAACCGACAGAACTCCGGGAACTTCACGATCTCAAGACGGGAATGGTAAGTTTTATATTTTTTTACATTCAATACCCCAAAAAAAGAGTCAGAATCTCAAAAATAGATTATCAAAATATGAACACGACTAAGCGTTGATTTAGGGACAATCACAACAAATTCCTAATTCATTGAATATTGGCAATTATGAGTATTTTTTTACTATCCCTGATGATTAGTAATGCCAGTGGTGGAAAGTCATTTTCAACTTCAAAAAGAGTGAAAAACTACCTTAGGAATTCCATGGTAGAGAATATATTGAATATCTTATCAATTTTAAGTATTAACAGTGACATGTTATTAAATCTGAATTTTGATGATGCCATTGAAGACTGCATCACAAAAATCAAGAAAAGTATTTTAGTTTTCATCTGAAAAAAATATTTGTTGTTTGTTGTTATGTTCAACGTGTGAAGTAAATATAATTTGATTCGTTGTACATAATGATTTCATGTTATTGTAATATGCTGTAAAAGAAGCAGTGAAAGGATTATTTGAATTTTGAAACTGACAATTGAAAATTAAATATTTGGCGGCGGCGCGGCGGCATCGTAATAGTTAGCCCCCGTCGTAAAAGAGTATAAATCCGGCACTGCTAACCATTTTACCATTCTATATTCTATCCTCTTTCTTTCCTTACTTTTTCTGCTTTCTACTAATCCTACTCTACTTCACTTTCTTCAGTAGGCATGGAGGTATATTATATAGGCTTCTTGTTAGGAATGTTTATTCCTCGAGCTTCATGCGTGTTATTCTTTGAAAGTAAGTATTTTGATGAGTTTGTTCTCCTCAGTTATCATCACTCGCGAATCACGATTCACAAATAGCTGTCATGCTGTGTACTTATACAATATATTACAAAGAGAACATTATTTTCTTTCGTTTATCGTTTGACAACCGGTAGCAATAATTCTGTGAACTTTGCCGGTAGAATAGACTATAGAACGAGGGAGCCAACGAAGAGGTGAAATGAGGATACACCAATACAACGATAATTGCATCTGCCCATGTACGTACGTACCAGTGACGTACCAATATTTTTGAGAGAGGATTAAATCTATTTTATTTACAACTATACAGGGTGTTTCATAATTGAATGCTGATCCTAAAGGGTGATAATCCTTGGATGATTTTAAGAAAAATTCTTCATGTGAACATAGGTCCGTAACAGCTTCGTTTCTGAGATACAGGATGTTGAAATTTAACAAAAAAATCAGTTATTCCCCAATATCTCTGAAACCGCTCTGGCTTTTTTCTTCATTACAAATACTTAAAAATAGTTACCATAAAATTATAAAAATATTGCTCAGATCTTTTGGTTACCACAATTGTGAAATTATGACTAAGAGTAAAAATCGAATAGGGACAAGCAAATGAATGCATTTTATTTTTTAACTCAAAAACCGTTCGCCGGACGAAAACAAGACAAGAG